GTTTAATCAACTTAACCGGTATAGAAGTAGTTAGTTTATTCCGATTGAAGTTCGCACTTATTTCTTTTATTCAATTCCCCAAATAATTGATAATGCACTAGCTACTAATTCTGTTAATTATAATTTATTCTAAGTCGAATCACTATTTAGGTGATTAATTAGACAAGAGTTAGACAGGAGTTGCGTGATTCACTAATAATCATTAAATTAAGCTTACTATATACTATCTATCTCTTACTATTAAACAGTCCGGTCAAACAATGTACTTCGTATGAAATAAACTACCCAACAAGACGATCTAGGTCACTAGGTGTGGTGTATGACGTAGGTTCGTAATCGTGGTCTTCTTTACGTAAGAACGCAGGGGTCGACGCATACCTCAAAGACGACTGACGTACGTATGACACGGTGGTAGCGGGCGGCGGTGGTAGCGGCGAATCTCCGACGGTCCACTTTACGAACTCTTCCCCCGACGGTGGTTCACTCAATCTTCTCCTTACTCAAGGTCTCGAGTCTTACGCTCCAACGTTTCCTTTCTCTCGCACTCTTCCTTTTCTTTATTTTTCTGTCTCGTTCTTTTATTTTGGGTGCCGCCTAAGTCTCGATCGGAGTGATGCTATTTATATGAGCAGGTCATCTCCGCCTGGTTGATCTCGGTTGACGATGAAGCGAGAAGATGACTTCCCTGTACGTAAATCATATACTCCGTACTTTTGCATTACGTTTTTGGGCTGGCCGAAAATCACAATAGTTAGTTGGTTAATTGGCTATTTGACTTAATTGGGCAGACTTGGACTAAAGTTGAATAGAATTAAAGTAAAGTGATAAGGTGGACAATTATAGAGATTAAATTACTATCGAAATAATTAAACCATAAAAGGGGAATTTATAAATAAAGGGTAGTTGAATTTAACTATAAGTTGATATTGATATAAGAATTTTAATATCCTTAGAAGGTGATTTGAGTGAAGAGCAAAAGGTAGAAATGTTGCCTTATTTGGAGTTTGAGGTAAGTTCTACGTCAACCAACATTACACTTTTCCTCGTAAATCTATATATGATTATTTATTTGAAATTATTTGAGTACTTTGTGAGATTCTAACATTTACATTTATACTTCGTATTTGAGTATTTAGAATTATTTATGGATTGTTATTGAGGATTATATTTGTGATTTGAGTATTGAGCATTGGGTGATATTTTTGAGTATTTGAAGTTATGTTTGAATCATTGTTGGGATTGAAATTTGAGCTATTTATGAAGTATTCTATATTTTGATCATGTTTGGAAATTTCGAGTTTAAAGGATCAATTAACTCTTATTTTGGAAATTTATGTCCATGAGATTTTGAAAGCTATTAGAGATCAAGATATTTTGAACTACATGGTGAAATTGTGTTTTGAAGTCCAAGGACAATAATCCTTATTCAGTTATTCTAAAACTATATCTATGAATAATAGATATAGAATTTTCGGAAAGTAATCAAGATAAAAAGAACCTTTCAATGTAAGGGCATCGCGGGAGAAATTCGCGGTGTCGGTGTTCTCCACGACCTTGACTGTGGAGAGTGATTAGGGATGCTACTATTTGCTTGGTGGGTTCGGTAACCAATCCGAACAATTTAAATAAATGAGTTTGGTGCGTTCGGTAGAAAAATCCCGAACGATATATATTTGGTGGATTTTGGCAGTAGTAGCAGTAACCTAGTCACTTCTATAGGGTAATCCCTTTTTGGTGGAGTAGGGGGACGTTGACGTCCGAACTACTTGGGCTTCTTACTACCCGTAGGGCTTGGAATCCCTTTCAGGGGGTGTGCACACTTAAGGTAGAGGTTCAGTTTCCTCGGGTTAGAAGTGGTACCGGCAAAAGTCCCGAGGTGGCCGTAAATAACAACGGACCATTGGGCTCAATAAAATGTTGAGCACCGCCCTTCAAATGTATTAGGAGTACAAATTATATTTGGATTGATGTTTTGAGGTTTTGAGGAGAACTCTATATTGATTGGATTGGATTTGAGTTGTTGGATTATTGGATTGAATTTGAGTTGGATTTAATTATCAAAATATTTGTGGAATTTCAAAGTACAAATACTTTTGGATTTAATTCGGTTTGATTATGCTAAAATTGATTATGAGTATTTGGAAGTATTTTGAGAATAATTTTTGGTACTTTATGTATATTTGGTATTTTGTAATTATTGTGGTTTGGAAATATTTACTTATATTTGAAGTACTATTATTTTACTAGTGAAATATGTTGTGAGAAGATTTTATAAATTGTTTTAAGGGAAAACTGTCAAATAGGTCCTCGAACTTTCATAAAAAGGTCAATTAAGTCCTTCTATAGGAGGTTTTGTCAGGCCGTCGCGATTTGGGGCAGTTCCCGGTGGAATTTTTTGATGAAATTTTTTGAGCATTTTATTCACCAAGTCTAGTTTACTCATACCAAATTTCAGCTAAAAATTCAATCGGGAACACATTCAAATTAATTCTTGAAGATAACTGCGCATTTTTGCGTTCTCGAATTAATTTGAATGCGCTCTCGATTAAATTTTTAGCTGAAATTTGGTATGAGTAAACTAGACTTGGTGAATAAGATGCTCAAAAAATTTCATAAAAAAATTCCACCGGGAACCGCCCCAAATCGCGACGACCGGACAGAGTCTCCTATAGAAGGACTTAATTGACTTTTTTATGAAAGTTCGAGGACTTATTTGACAGTTTTCCCTTGTTTTAAAAAAAAGATTTTTCATCCTAAATGTTTTTTTTTTCAAAAATACTAAATTATACTCCCTCCGTCCCTGAATGTTCTTCCGATTGCGGATTACGAAGGTTGACCGACGATAAAGTTAAATGATCCCTGTGAAAACTCGGATTATTTTTAGTAAATAAAATTTACATATTCAGAAACTACATTAAACCCGCTACAAAGCCTGCACAAAAAAAATCAATTTTCATAAAGTCTTGATACAAAAAGTAAGAGTTTAAGAGTGATTTAAGTTGACTCTCGAAAAGCGAAATGGAAGTAAATTTAGGGACAGAGGGAGTATTATTTTATGGGGTTAGGTGGAACTTACTTAGCATTGTTGCTAATTTTTGTTTTCTATTATTTTTCTTTCTGTACTTGATTTTGTACAGGTAATGCTTTGCTGATGATGTTGATTTCAAGAGAGCTTCCGCTAGAGAAAATGTAATTAGCAGATAACATTGTAGTTTAATTTAATTTTAAAACCCTTATTGAGTTTAATTGTTTCTGTGGTGATTAGCCTGTGCACTCGGTTAGGTTAGAGCCGGGTGTGGCGGTAACGCCCCTATTTCCCTTTTGGTTTTCCGCTGCAAAACTCTGATGTTTTCAAAATAAAGCTGATATTTCTTTTGAATAAAGTATAATTTTTTAGTGGGAAATTTGGGGGTTACAATGAGCTTCTACAGATGCAGTTGACTTGCATAGTCTTTTACTTTAGCTTTCTTAATGTGCTAATCTCGCTTAATGTGTTAACTTGTTGGCTGGATACACATAAACATGCTTTAACATCTTTAAAATTGGGTAGTGTTTTGTTATAAATATCTTGCAGTTACACGTGCTCATATAATTGTTTAAGTTGTTGCATTTCATGCAATATGAAATTCAGTGGATGTTGTTGTACTTTATAGTTTGAGGCCTGAATATACTGATAAATATGACGTCGGTAGCAATCTAACTGATGTTGTATGTATTTTTTTTATACAAAAAGTGGACTTATTACGACGGTTATAAAGGAAAACCGACGTAGTACATGTGTATATAAATTGGAATTGACGTCGGTTTTGTATAATAACGGACGTGGTATATTTATTTTTTTCGGGAAAAAAACTTTTCACATCGGTTTTAGAACCGACGTAAAATGTTGATATCTATAACGTCTCTTACTTACACGTCACTTACAAAACCGACGTGAAAGGGTGAACTTAACCGACGTGAAATGTCCATTCTCTAGTAGTGTCAAAACAATAAAATTTACCTCTCAATAACTTTATTTACTTTTTTTATGCTCGAAGAGGGCTTAATTCATAGAAATAGCATTCAACAAGGGTACAAAAGCAGAAAAGAACCACATGTAACCATCTGCCCGTGGCCGAGACTAAGAGTTAACCACTTGTAAAAAAGCAGACTCGCTAGACCAAAATTCGGAAACTTAAAGCCAATGGCGGTTACCACAAACTTTCCATCCCCAAAACCTAATGCAAGAGTCTTACAAGGATTACAAACACAAAAGAAAAACAGAACATAGCATCCTAAATAAAAACAAATAAAACAAACAATAAAGATAACACCATCACTTGACTTCTTCACCAACACCACCATATGAAAACTCGACGGGTCTAAGAGAATTGACCCGCCGCCTCCCCATTTTTTGGCCCATTCAGAGCCATTCCTTCACCAGCGGTACCCTCTTTGGTTTGACTATCTCATATCCTTCTGCGCTTTGTGTCTCCAGGAGACTCTTCCTTGTCTTTTGTCTCGTGCTGTGATGGCCTGCTGGCCTTGGATTCAGCCGAAGACTCTCCCCCGAGATCAGACCTCCGTTGAACTCCTATCCACTTGAACTAAAAGCTCCATCAGATAACCACTTGTTGAGTCCTGTAGAGCTTGTCTTCACTCTATTTTCGTTCTTTTCTTCATAGATTTGGAGAGTCGGAACAATTGTTTTGTTTTATATACAGATTAGCAAATACAAAGTTATGAAATGCAGATCGTCAATCTTTTGCATTAATACACTAAGCTGTTAAGAGCACGCGTACACGATCTCGTCCAAGGTCTAGAATGAGATAACGGAAGTGAATTCCGGTAAAGAGATGACTGAATTTTTGGATCTATGATGAGCAGAGAGAAAACGGAAATAAAAGACTTTATTGGAATTAATTTGGTGCCCGACCTTGTCAAGACACAATAATTAATTCTCCAGAAAAACCTCCCCTTACATCCACTGAGGACCCCTATATATAAGTCATATAAGAGCCCCTAAAGAGAATAAAGTAAACCTGCTAAAACTGAATTAGGAAACTTGCTAAAACTGAATTTAGGAAACTTGCTAAAACTGAATTTAGGAAACTTGCTAAAACTAAATTAAAGCAATAAAATGAATAAAGAAACTTGCTCCCAAAGTCAGCCACTTTCAGTGGCTTTATTGGACTGAATTCCTTCGGGCCGATCACCCCTTTGGCCCATCCTGCGCCTTTGATATGTTTGACCCCAAAACTTGTCCATAACATCACTCCCCTCGTCGACTAGGAGCTTGTCCTCAAGCTCAAAATCTGGATATGAAGCCCGAAATGTATCTGCAGGTTCCCAGGAGGCTTCTTCAAGTGATTTTCCCTGCCATTGGACCAGGAATTCTAAGCAGCCATGATTCAGACGGTTGCGGATAATAGCAAGCGGCTTACTCTCTTCAGGTGGGTTAACTAGCAATGGTAGAGTCCCCATGGTTGCTGGTGGATTTCCCTTGTGTGGCTTTAAAAGAGAGACATGGAACACATCGTGAATGCGGCTCTCAGGTGGTAATTGCAATTTGTATGCTGCTTGTCCAACTCGTGACTGAACTTGAAATGGTCCATGGAACTTTGGAAGTAATTTATGGTTACCACGACTTAGGGAGAGTTGTCTATGAGGATGAATGCGTAGCCAGACCCAATCTCCTACCTCAAAGGACAGATCGCGGTGAGTTTTATCGTACTGCAGCTTCATATGCTGTTGTGCTTGAGCTAGTCGTTCTCTAGCCTTAGCTAAGAGTTGATCTCGGCTAAGAAGCGCCTGTTCCACACCCTCTAATCTCGCTGTCCCAGGAATATATGAGATAAGTTTAGGTGGATCCCGACCATAAACAAGGCGAAAGGGTGTATCACCCAGCGAAGTATGATAAGAGGTGTTATAGCAATATTCAACCCATGGGAGCCAACGAACCCATTCTTTTGGATAGTCACTGGTGAGACATCGCAAAAACATTCCCAATGTGCGATTTACTACCTCGGTTTGCCCATCGGTTTGAGGGTGATAGGCAGACGAAAATGCTAATTTAGTTCCAGCCAACCGAAATAGTTCTTTCCAAAAAGAACTCACAAATATTTTATCATGGTCAGAGACGATGGATTCTGGCAGTCCATGTAGGCGGAATATTTCCGCAAAAAAAAACCCTGCAACAGAAATGGCAGTGAATGGGTGTGCTAATGGCAGGAAGTGTGCTGCTTTAGAAAGACGATCAACAACCACCAATATTACTGTCTTTCCTCTAACCTTGGGCAGCCCTTCTACAAAATCCATCGATATATCTGCCCAGATATGTTGTGGAATCGGGAGCGGTTGAAGGAGCCCTGCCGCGTACACGATCTCATCCAAGGTCTAGAATGAGATAACGGAAGTGAATTCCGGTAAAGAGATGACTGAATTTTTGGATCTATGATGAGCAGAGAGAAAACGGAAATAAAAGACTTTATTGGAATTAATTCGGTGCCCGACCTTGTCAAGACACAATAATTAATTCTCCAGAAAAACCTCCCCTTACATCCACTGAGGACCCCTATATATAAGTCATATAAGAGCCCCTAAAGAGAATAAAGTAAACCTGCTAAAACTGAATTAGGAAACTTGCTAAAACTGAATTTAGGAAACTTGCTAAAACTGAATTTAGGAAACTTGCTAAAACTGAATTAAAGCAATAAAATAAATAAAGAAACTTGCTCCCAAAGTCATCAGCCACTTTCAGTGGCTTTATTGGACTGAATTCCTTTGGGCCGATCACCCCTTTGGCCCATCCTGCGCCTTTGATATGTTTGACCCCAAAACTTGTCCATAACATAAGCCTCTCTACTGAGTTAAGATATTATGAGAATATAATACATATGCATATAATATGAACACCGCAAAATCTTCATAATAAAAAAATTCTTACTTCAAACTTTTATTATTCTTTAGATGTACACAACAACTCCAAGAAATAATAATAATTACTACGTACTTCTTTAGTCTCATATTTTCAAGTTAGTTATAGTTAATAAATATTTATATATCTAGAAACTATACTAAAAGTAATATTGAATCGCAAACACCAGATCCAAAATTGGTAACAAATCCATTTTTCTACTCCGGTTTATAGGGTCATGCTCCGGGAGTCTGGATATAAAACTAATTGCTCCCATTTTCTACTTCAGTTTCATTGTTCTGTTATTCAATGAGAACTAATGCTGAGGAAATTACACTGCTCGGCATTGACAACTTGCCACACCTCATGCCTATTAGAACACTGCATATATGCTCAGGTCTTCTCACGCGGAATGATAATAACAGCATGACAAACAAATTTCTAGAGTAGTGCCCTAAGTCTTAGTTCTAATTTCTTTCAAAGCTTCATAAGTTTTTTTTTTCATCTGCAATCAACCCCGTCGCAAAACACATGTTGGGATATTGAATCCCGACCTATTATTTTTATTTCATAGGCCCAATACATAGGCTCATACAGAGCCCGGTGAGTGAGGCCCACTTCCCAAGTACAAAATCCTAGAATTTGCCACGTGGCATCTACATAATAAAGGAGAAAGTTGTGGAGAGAAGGTCACATATGATTTGTAGAGGGTAAATTGTATTTTTTTTTTTTTTTTTTTTTTTTTTTTTTTTTTTCGATAATATGTAAGTATATTAGAAATCGAAAAATAACATTTTACAATGCATCAAATCCAAATCAAAATGACTATCTAAGCTAGAACAATCTAACCTAGATATAATGCATCAAAATAATGGGACAGTCCCCACTTCACAAATCACTAATTAAAGATATTTGGTTTCCCTAATTTAACAACCAAGGAAAAATCGGAAAGGTTTAGTGAACTTTGAATCAAAGCGAACCTCCCCTTTCTTCTTTGTAACACCCGGCAAGCCCTCAAGACATTCAACGGTAAAAGTGAGACCCTTTCTATCCAAATCATCCGTAAGTCGAAGGAAATTGTCCACTCGAATCACATTAGCATGCACGGATTTAAACGGTTTGACAAACAACTTGAGTGTCTTGCCGTTTATCACCTCACATTTTATAACAACATCATCTAGCTTCACATCCTTTTTATCCATGACTATCCTCTCGCCATCATCCAAAGAAGGTCTCTGTTCAGTCAGTTTAATCACGGCAGATACATCCTGGACAAGCTTCTGCGCTGAAGACCCGATCGGGTCCTTCGCACACCCGGGGGGGTGAGCAACCTGCAGCTGGGTTTCGGTCGGGCTAGGGGCAGGCCCGGTCGGGTCTGACCCCTGGGCAGCAGGTTGTTGCGTAGTTGACTCCTTCTCTATATTTTCATCTTTTTCCCTGCTCCGTTCTAAATCAGTTTCCTTATCCTCCCGTTTTGCTAATTTCTTACAAATAAATGGGTGATGCCCATATTCTTTGCAATGGAAGCAAAAGTTAGGGAAAGTTTCATAAACCACAAATTGTTTGATTACCTTACGGGAAGGTAGTCGAATAGGGAATTGAAGCGGTGGTGGCTTTGAAACATCAACCTCAATAAGAACTCTAGCATAGTCATTGTTTGCCCTTTCTTGAGTGATTTTATCCGTGGTTAATGGGACCCCGACCATTGATGCCACCTCACTCATAGCCTCATCATTCCATAAACTCATCGGTAGTTTAGGGAACTTGACCCAAATTGGAATTTTTAGAAATTCCTCATCCTCAAAAGTGAAGTCCTCCGAGAGTTCTTTGAGCATTAATAGCTTACCGAAGACGGTGTAGGGTCCTTCATGTAGTACTTTGGATCTATCCTCTTCATTTTGGAATTTAAAAATTATCCAACCCTTGTTATGAGATCTTACTAAGCTTTTGACTCCCCATGTAGCTTTTAAGTCATGAACCGCTTTGAGTCCGGGGAATTTGCCGGTGAAATGTCCCACAAGACAATAACCCCACATTTCAACCATTGAGGGTAGTATGCGGTCACCAAAGTCCAGTGTCTCGCCTCTAGGTGGAACATATCTCAGCTTAATCCCATTTTTTGGATCCCGGTTATCCTTAAACAGAGAGTTCCATTTAGTTTCTGTAGTTACTGCCGGTGTTGAACCAGCATTTACTGTCTTAGCATTTAAGATCTTATCAGTCCCAAGTACTGCCTTAGCATGTTGTGCATTTCCAGCATCATTTCCATCATCCTTGGAAGCCAGCCTGTTGGCTTTCAATTTTTCAGTTCCAAGAAGCAGAGTTGCCGCAGGTGGGTTAACCGCAGCAGTATACTTTTGCTTTGTCTTCTTCACAGCGAGTCCAGGCAGCAGAGCAGGGAACTCCATATCAGGATCCTGAAGTACTGAGAAGCTGGACCTGGTAGTCCTAATTCCCAACCCCTGTTTCGCAGACATGGCAAACCTCCCAAAACAACAGATACACAGTAGCTTAGGTAGAAGCACAAAGCTTAGGATCCCGAAACAACCTCTACAATCGACCCATTAACCGGAAATTGAATCTGACTCCCAAGCAGCCATCGACCTTGAAGCTCAGATTTCCGGAAAAAGTAATAGCCGATGACCAGAGAATCAACTTTGTTGGAGGATCTAATCAAGTGTATTAGCTTATTCCTCACACCAAGGAGATCCTAAAAACACCTTCCAATCAAAGATTGAGCTGGAGAAACAAGAGAAACGTGCGTTGACCTTCTCGCGTGAACAGTGATTTCGCAGGTGTTCTTGCGTGAAATCAGTACCAAAATCCCGCAAATTAGCTCGAAAATTGGAGGATTTACATCCCAAAGAAGATTAGGAAGTAAAGCAAACAATATCCAAGCTAAAACAAACAAGATTGGTGGAAGAACGAGTGGATTAAAGGGTGAAGGACGAAGAAGCGCCTCGATAGAGGGAGAGTTCAGCTCTCAACTTCTGGTTTCCCCTTTTTAGGGTAAATTGTATTTTAATGAGCCCATTGTTTTCTTATATATAAATGTAATAGGTAGATTACATTTTATTTGTATCTTTTGTGACTATATGGAAAACCTCTCAAAATATATTGTGGACAAAAATGTAACTAAATTCACTATGTGTAGACTTTAATTTTACAGTTACTTTGGTACAATTTTAAACATAACCTCAATCATTGAAAATTAATAAGTTACTCCCTCCGTCCCGGAAATAAGTTCCCACTTTCCTTATTTGGATGTCCCAAAATAAACTTTTCATTTCCTTATTTGGCAAATTATCTATATTAAAAAATGCAAAACCGTGTCAAAACATTGTCAAACAGTGTCGAAACGATGTCAAAACAATAAAATTTACCCCTCAATAACTTTATTTACTTAAAACGTGTGAAAGTCAACCCGTGAACTTGTTTCTGGGACAGAGGTGGTCTATTTTTATCCATTATCCTACTTTTGGTCATATATTGGGAAATTATTTATTTAATATGGAATAATCCGTATTATACCAATGTGTACAAGTAGCATTATTGGTTTTACATTGACAATATGAACATATATCGAACAACTTTTTCATTTAGAATGTTATTTAGAGCCCGTTTGGTAACACTCAAATTGGATGAATCTATGAAAAAAATTGTATTTTAAGAAATAATTACATGAATATGACCAAAATAAAGATGGTTTACGAAAATATGACTAGTTACTAGAGTAGTAATGAAATCATAGTAATTCATGTTCAAGTTTTGAACTTAAGTTACTACAACACCACGTTGTAGTAATGAATAGTCATATTTATGTAAATAAATTTTATTTTAGTAATATTCTTGTAAAAAACCCAAATTGTATTTTAAAATATATTTTACTAATAAAATAAAGAAAATAATAATAATAAAAAGTAGCTAAAATGATCTTCTATTGAAACTTCAGACAATTCAGCTAGAAAAATAACCACAACCTTACTTATATATATTATTATACAATTTAATAATAATAGATATAATAATAGATATAATACAACTTAATGCACGATATACAAAGACACATATTAAAACTCATACATTTTTATGATCTATCATATAACACAAAATTGCTTATAAATAATTTAATTTCTTTTGAAGATTTATTAAACAACTTTCTATTTTCCAACCTTGATTCGGATTATTCCGTATTTAATTCAGAAATAATTCATAAATTTAGACAAAATAAGGACAATGGACAAAAATGATTAAAGTAATGGTAATGAATAAAAATGTGACTTATTAACTTTTATGAATTATAATTATGTTTTAATTTATGTCGAATTGACTATAAGGAAAACATCTCAAAAAATATTTTTGGACAAATATGTAACTAAATTTGTTAGAAGTATACTTTTTTAGTTATTGTGGTATAATTGTAAACATAACCATAATCACTAAAAATAAGTAAGTTATACTTTTACCCATCATCCATTTTTTGATCATATATTAAGAAATTATTTATTTACTTAACACGGAATAATCCGTATAGTGGTTGGAAGATAGGAGAGTTGGTACGTGATGT